TATTTTTATATTGAATATTTCCATTCCAATCAATTGGATTATAACCACCAACCAATTGATTTGTATTTAAAATTTTCCCCACTATAATTGTTGCACCTTTGTTATCACATTTTTGATGAAATATTTGTGATGAAATACCATCTACGCTTCTTCGAAAAATAAGATTAAAATCATAATGAATTTTATTTAAATTATCATTATCATTAGTTTGTTTATTGATCCATTTTGCAAATAATAGTGCAATTTTGTCATTAATTAAAACAGAGTCGATTTTATTGTTGCCTAATCTAACCTGAAATTTGTTGTAGAGTGGTACGGCATCTGAAACCAAATAAGAACGTAATATATCCTCTATTAGATTATCAGGAAGAAGGTGTCTTAATGGCCATACTTCAAGCATGAACTTTTCCCGATCCATTTGATGAAATCTGATGTGTTTAATTAATTCATGTAATGTCTTTTCTAATTTATTAAAGTCTTTATACGTAAAGTTTGCCACTTTATTATTAAGTGTTGGATTTTGAACAATTCCCCATTCAATTAGTCGTTTCCAAATGGCACATTCTTTCATTTTGAGATTATCACATTTAAGAATAGATATAAGCATATCTTCTTCTAACGAAAGGAAGTCGTCTGAATTAAAAAGTAAATAAGGATTTTTACAAATAGTCTCTAATAAAACTTCTTTAATATTGTCTAGTGCTTTATGACGAGTAATTAAGTGAAGTATTTTAACAATATCTTTTTGTAAAAAGTCTTGACAATTTTTAGTAAAGGTCTCAAGAGAAACTTTTTTAAGTTTATCGAATGATTCATAACAGACAATAATTTCAAATATTTTAATAGGATCATACTGTAAAAATTTATAACAATTTTGAATTAAAAATTCTTGAATATAATTAATAAGTCTTTGAATTCCAAGTTCATCTGAAGCGACTAAAAGTTCCAAGATAATATTTTTTTCTTGATTTTTAAAATCCACTATTCCACAATATAGATACCTATTTAAATAAAGTATATGAAAATTATTATATTATAGATTTTAAAATCTTGAATGTTGATAATTTAAATTACTTACTTTAATATAATTTCAACTACTAATGCACTAATATTAGGCTTTTTTAAAACCAAATAACCATCGGTTTTTTTAGCCCAACTAGAAGAAAATGCACTATGAAAATATGAAGATCTAGTACGAAGGATTAAAGAATGGACATAAATTTCTTTAATATTTGGTTCTTTTCCAGTGATTATAATCGCATCATAATCTTCTCTAGTTTCATATAATTTTTTAAAATCTTCGGTTACATCATTATAAAATACTTCAGCCATTCTTCTGCATATATTATTATTACGAGGTAATAATTATTTGTGTAGTTAGTACTCTAATCTTTCTGGTTAATTACTTTAGCCTATCGCTATATATATGTTTTAAATTTCTTGTAAAAAAAGAGAATAATTTCAAAACATTGATGCTTTAATACGATATTATAACAAAATAAATTTCTATTAAAATATATTGAATTGATATATAAAAAAGGCTAAACAATTTAGGCAGTCATAATTACAATGGACTAAATGACGTAATAATTGTCGCGGATGATCTGAAAATCGGATGATGTTGAAATTTTTATATATTTTATTAAAAGAATTATACAAGTAGAGATGGTAAAAAAATGTTTAAAAACGGGATTTTAAAAAAATGATGTTTAAATTGTTTAAAAATTTTCAAATATAATATATATCATTACGTAATCATTATATTAAATGATTTTATCATCGATCAAAGAAATGCAGGGGATTAAAAAATTAACCAGTAATTTTTAGCTTCAATTAAATTTTAATTTCGGCTGCCGAAGTTTTAAATCTTTTGTTTTTAAACAATAAAAACTTATAAAAAATGATTTAAATCATCCCTAGTATACTGTAATGTGAATTTTAGTAGATATACATAACTTTGATTATATCGAAACTCTCAAAAATAAAGGAATTATCCAATATATCCATGTGTCGGCTTAACCAGAGGCATTTTCACATTAAGTATATAGGTTTAAATGTCAGCTGTCGGTTTTTATACAGATATCGGGACTCTAAATTTCGGCATCATCCGATTTCACGATCATCTGTGACAATAATTTTTAGTCTAATCAAATAAGGCAAAAGAATAATGCTACGTAAAATCATATGATTATATTGCTTACACATACATACGTAGTATGAAAACAAGTAATTAAATGACATTAATCACCAGGTTCACTATGGGTTTCTTAAATTTCCCTTGTATGATTTGCAGGATGCAAAATTTTTATGCCGAATTTACATTTTTTTATAATAAATGATTCATTAATCATAAAATCTTTATTTTATCGAAGGTAGAGGGAGGAAAAGGGGTAGGGAATAAAGGGAAACGGGTTCGGGTTCTTTTCTGTCAGCTCCTTAACTATATGTTTTGAAATTTCCTTCACATCTTACCACAGATTATACGTTCTTTCACTGGTCCAAGTTTTGTAAATGATTTTAAATCTATTATAAACATCCATTTATAATATGTTGAAACTTAAGAAAGATTTTTTATGTTTTATATTTATTTTATTATTATAACAAGAATGAGATTACAAGTAAAATATAACATTAATTTCTTTGATATACGCAAATTAAAAACCATTATACGAAATAAATGGCTGCCGTCAATAGAAAACAGGTAGATTACTTTTTAAAAAATAGTAATGACTTTCACACCCTATATTTCGACAAATTTTTGAAACTATTTTAATAATTTAAATGTGAAAATTAAAACCTAAGACAAGCTTTATTTTCACTTTTAAATTATAAAATAGCTTCAAAATTCGTCGATATAAACAATGAAATTAATTACGGTTGTCGATCAATTCCCCGAAAACTACTTACCCGACAGTCCATTTACCTGATATCTCGTAGGGTGACAATTTAGCATTTAGTTAGCTATCAGCTATAGGTACGTATATTTTATTGGTAAATTTTCACCTCATGTGATGTCGGGGAATTGTACCGTAATAAGTCTCTTTCTCGTCATAGTAAAATTATATAATAAACTCTCGATATAAAATATAGTAATCTGTTAGTGTCCTAAACAAATATATTAAAATACCTCGAGAAATATAAAGTAACCAATCAGATTAGAGAATAGAATAAGAAATCTCTTGATACTGAAACCTGGAATTTATACGGCGAGTCAGTCGCTCGGCTATGGAAAACACCTCACAACCTACGAATGGCTTATCGAAAGAGGGCGTTTATATTTGGTCGGTGGTTTAGGCTCGTAGGTTAGTGATTCGTTTTATCCTTCTTATAAATGGAGTCTTGGAGAATGAACACCACAATACGTCGGGTATTCAAATATTCGAAACCACAGTTACCTCAGTACGTCGAGTAACTGCAACCAAAACAAAATAACCACAACCAACCTCGGTACGTTGGGTCAGTTGGAATCGGGAACCACGATTAATCTTAGTACGTCAAGATTAATCGGACAATTCACAGGTAGGTATCACGTGTGCAAGACAACAGTAAACGTACTGTATGTCAAATTAACAAGAGCGGGGTTATGGAAGGGGTTAGTTTAGCGGAAAGATTATGTATTCGGGGTTTTCATGTATCGGAAATTGATAATTATTCAATAAAGAACTCAGTTTTAAAAGCAAAACTATGATGAGTTATTCTTTTATTACGAGCGAATATGCCCTAATTATATACAGTTTACATCAATATGTTTTACATAACTCTTATAATATTTAAATATCTTTTATCTATTTAACGTCTTAAACATCTTAAACATCTTAAACACCTTATACACCTTATACACCTTATAATACTAAAAACCCTTTTATTCCTTATATCCCTTATATCTATTAAAACTCCTATATCTCTTTTAGTACTTATAAGAGTTTTAACTCTTATATCCCCGGGAAACCCATTAAAGGTAAAAGATCTACGCACCCGTATGTAGATACTGCGGCACATTAGCCTCCGACCCTCACGTGTCTCCGGAGTTACTTTTCCCATCTCACAATACGTACGGTACTGTAGTAAAAAGAGTTTTTATAACGATAGTAAATATCTCGATATACGTAGTAAAGAAATTTTTGCAGCCTAATAACTTACTATAAAAAGAACAACCTTGTTTTTTTTAAAAAAAAAAAGTTTTCTTTGACGGCACATAATTTATCAGTTAAGGAATTGAATTTAATGAATTCGTTGATCGGGATCATATTGAAAATCATATAAGGAAGTCATTGTGCTTTACACTGTAAAGTACAATGACATCACTCATCTAGTGCTTGGAACCGGATATAATCCGGATAAGTTATCAAAATTTATTGGATAGGATTTATTAGTAATAATTATTAAATAACCAAGTTTGTCACGTTGCAATGTCCAATTGTTTTTTTTTCTTTTTTTTTTTTTTGTCGAAACTTAGGGATCTCATGTATGAGTTCTATTCTATATCTTAAATTATTTTATCTTAGTTTAATTTTAGGAATGCTAATACTGTAGTTCAGTCTAGTTTCCCTGGTTTCAATCTGGTCTATATAGTCTACAGTTTTAAAAATTAGCAGATTTAATCCTCAAAATCTAGTAACTTCCTAATTAGATTTTCGGTCCATGTGAGAACAGTCCCATCGATTCTAGATTGCGAGTCTGATCATCTTTGGACCAGACCAGACTGGATAGACTGATTAACGGTCCTAATCCGTATTATTTAAATTAAAACGGATATGGATAACGGGATGAGCAATTACTGATCAAATGGGCTATCCAGATCAGAGTGATGGAACGTCTTTCGTCCGATGTAAATCAATTGAACCAGTAATCAAAATATTACTTGATCACACTTTTTATTTCTTGTTATTTTATTAATTTATACCTAATTTCACTTTTGCCGGTTTTTACCCACTTGTCAATTTCATCATTTCTCATTTAGGATTTTAATTAATAAAGGCAAAACGTTTCGTCAACGCGAAATTCCTATATTTATCCTAACAACAAAAATTAATATATATTTATTTGATAAATATTTTACATAATATCGTAGTTCAAAATTATTATTATTAAATAGAGATAGATGCTTAGCTAACTATGCATTTAAAAATATAAAATAAGATAGCATATTATTAAAATAAGAATTTGAACCAGATTATTTATCTTATATAAAATAGCTTATGTGTTTACGAAATTGAGCAAATATTATCATTTTTAACTTTTTTTTTTTTAGTTATAATTAGGTCCTACATATTTGTCATCTACAAAATATCTAGGATGCATAAATGAAATCCACCTATGTTGATTGTCTCTTTTAAATATAACTTGAAAAACTTCATATTCAACGATCGAAAATCTTTTGGTTAATTCGCTTTTTTGTTCTTTATGAAGATTAAAAATCTTTTTATAACTCCAAGGCTTTGAAGTACAATTTCCAAATACTCTAAAATCTTGAGTCATGAATATATCTGTCTTTCCAAAACAAGGTCCAAGCGCTGGATTGTCTCTGATTGCTGTTAGTTTAAGTTGAACTGAACTAAACTCGGCATTAATAGGATATTCATTATCAAAAGAGAATATAAAACTATCATCTGAATTACAATAACTATCTGAATTTACATTAAGATCATCATTAGAATTTGTTTCTTGATTTCCCCAATCAAGAGGATTATATCCACCAATTATTTCTCCAGAATCTTGAATCTTCATAATTACTATAGTTGGTCCTTTTTGATCACAAAGTTGATGAAATTCTTTAGGTGAAAATCCATCACGTGTACCACGTAAAAGTAATCGAAATTCACATCTAATTCTGGCCATACTAGTTTGATCTATCGTTATTGGAATTTTTTGAATAATTTGAGCTGCTTGTTGTAATGTAATAATATTAGAATTAATCATAGTTATTTTTGGTTTTCTTGGTTTTAAAATATTCATAAGTAATGGATTTAGAATACATGTATTTTGAAAATATAAAATATCTTGAATTAAATTTGGATTAAGAATATCTTTAAAAGGAATAACAAAAGAAAAAAATTGTTCAATAGTAAATTCAGTAAATCTAATAAATAATATTAAACGACTTAATCTATTTTGAAGAATTTTAAAATCATTTTTAGACCAATCAGAAATATTAAAATTCAATTTTGGTGATTGTTCAATTCCCCATTTAATTAAATAATTCCAAATTTCAAATTCTTCAATTTGAATATATTCTTGTAATAAAATGTTTATCCAAAGTTTTTCATCAAAATCAATAAAATATTCAAAGAAATAATTCGATCCAAAAATTAATGATGAATTTGTTGGAATTATTTTTATACAATGTTCTTTAAGTTTTTTAAGTACATCATATTTAAAACTAATAAATGTTACTAAATCTAAATTCTGTAATATCCATTTATATCTTTTTTTAATAAGGTAATGTTGACCTTTGTTGCCAACTTCATTAATAAATAATAATTCATCAGCAGAAACTAAAAATTCCAAAATATCCTTTGAATCATATTGATCCCAAGCAACATTTTTACTATATATGTAGCTATAATAAAAAAAAAAAAAATTAACATAAATTATTATTAAATTTTTTTTTTTGCACAAAAAAATTTTATTACATTTTGATTATTCAAAAAAATTATTAAATAATAAATTTTTCTTACTCTAAAATTATAAGAAATACACTTGGTGCAATATTAGACTTTTTTAAGACAATCTTATCATCTTCATGTTTGGCCCAAGTTGAAGATAAAACACATTTAAAGAATGAAGATCCTTCTTGAAGAATATTCTTATGTGCCATAAACCTTTTAGAATTAGGTTCTTCTCCTGCTTCGATTATTACATCAGTTGAAGTATTATTGGAAAGATAGTTAAAATATTGTTGGGAACCTTCGGGAATATTAAATCTATACGTTTTATCATCGTCATCAAGTACAAAAGAAAATGATATATCAGTTATACCATAGTTGTGTGGATTAAACAGAGGATTTTGAAGGTAATTGACAAGAGGTAAATTCATAATTTAAATGCAGTAATGTTATTACCGATTTTGCGATTATATAATTATGTGGCGGAAATTGTATTCCGGATCGACAGTTATGACCCAATATATTAGCGGCGCAACCAAAATTCTGCAGATCGGATCGGCGTTGGCAAAATCACTTTGTTAATAAATCATAGCCCACTAATTAAGTAAAGTTGCCCGGATGATAATTTTTGTTGACTAGCATTATTGCTTAATTTCATTTAACTCCGATGAATTCCGATCCGGACTTTTGGATCAATTTGCTGAATTTTGGTTGCGCCACTAATCTACTCGTTATTACGTACTACGTACAAATAATTTGGCCATTGGCCTGCATTAATCTAATTCTATAATTCTTGCCGGAAATTATTTTTTTTTAATTTTTTTCATTATAAAAAGAAAATTTGTAGAAAATAAGCCAGGTCCATGGTAAAATTATGCAGGATTATTACTTAATGGGTGGCTGCGGTTTCTTAAGCAAAATTTTTAGTAATTTTAGCATGTTTTTTTTTTGTAAATTATGTTAGCCAATCACAATTGAGAATCTGCCGCGCACTTTTTTGTGCGGTTCCTAGGTTAGATGGTTATGATGAAGCTGTGTCAAAAGAAGAAATTTAAAATATTCTCAAAAACCATTATATAAACTCAACAAATAATTTGCTTCAACGCTCGTTCATACCCTTTATTTCACCTCAGGTACATGTAGGAATGTGAAGTCCGGTCCAAAGTTAGTCTTTTGAGTCGACTCGGTCGAACTTTTTTGAGTCAACCTTAGACTTGAAGGACCCTAAAGGATCGAGTCCCAGTAGTCAACATGTATGATTAGATGTTGAGATAACGATAACTTTATTTTTATGAAAATAAAGAAAATTACATAAATTTATCTAACTGCCAATATATTTTTTCTTGTTATATCAATTTATAAATATTTATTTCGTTACTTAAGAATTTCTATATATAACTAACTTGTCAAACACAATGAGGCTTTGGTTGACTCCTCGAGAGAATAATTTCCTTTGTGATTGAGAATATCAAAAAAGGTGAGTTTACAAGGAATGTTAGTCACTTGTAGAGACTATAGTTGAAAAACAGTAGGAATTATTTTTCTACTATAGGAGTAAATTAGAAATAAAATTCTAACTTATTTGGTCCTGCTTTATTTTTTCTACTTTCACTTATTTGTTTGATTATTTTTTGAATCTGTTTTAGCAGATCTAATTTAGAAACAGTCTTTGAACTATTTATTTTGTATTTTATATAAAAGGCTTTTAGCTTATCAATAAATGATTTGTAGTCAAGATTTTCAATTTTAAAAAATTGTAAAAAACTATTTCAGTATTATCTCTTAGTCTAATTTTTATTTTTATTTTTATACTTTAAATGATCTTACTAATTATTAAAAAAAAGTTTACATAAGCTATAAACTAATCTAATATACTAATATACTAATTTGTCTTCTTTTTAACTATTTTAAATTAACTTAGCTATCTCAAAGATGTCTAAGTTTGATCTGCTATAGAAGTTATTTTTTTTGTAAATATCTTAATTTATATATACAGATTTTCAGAATTTAGTTATACTAGTTGAATATATAAAAATTAACTACTAATTGTTTTAATAAATTTATCTATTAAACTTAGAGCTAAATTTTATTAGAAATCAATTTATAATTAATACTTTTAAGTACTGATTTCTAATAAAATTTAGCTTTTAATTATTCTAAGTTTAAAAAGAAAATTTATATCAATTTCTAAAATAATTAGTAGTCAATTTTTAAAATAACTTAGAATATATTTAGCAGTTAAATTTTATAAAAATTTAGTATACTTTTAAGTGCTAATTTCTAATAGAAATTAGCTAAGAATCACTATACATTTGACTAGAGAATTTATGCTAAATTAGTTAAAACAATTAACAAATAATATTTAAGATAATTCAAAATATATTTAATAGTTAAATTTTATAAAAAATTAGTATACTATCAGTTTATGTTTAATCTTAGTTTAATATTTAAATTAATAACAAATATTTATAATAGTTGATAAATTTTTGTCAATATTATTATTAATTAATATTAAGCTAAAACATTAATTCTTTATTATATAATAATTATTTTAATTAAATAAAAAAATATTTTTAAATTTAATATCTATAAAAAAAATTTAATCTTTTTTCTTTTTTTGTTAAACTTTCTCAAAAGAAAAAATTAAAAAAAATAAAAAAATGAATAATAATTTATAGCTAAAAGACAATAGAATTTGTTAATAGTTATAATTTCTAAAAAGAATAACAAAAGATAAATTTGTATTGATTATCAAAAGCTAAATTCAATAACCAAGAAAAATATATATATCTACTTCCTAATATTAATGAAATACTTAATAGTTTTAGTAAAGAAAATAGTTTTTTAGATTTAGTTAGTGGATATTAGCAAATTGCTATAGTCAAAAAAAAACAAAAAGAAAACAGTATTTATAATAAAATTTAGTATACACAAATTTAATTTAATATTATACTATTTAAACTTTGTAATACTCCTACTATATTTCAATATTTAATAGATTTGATATTATAAGAATTCTAGAATAAATTTATAGTTATATACTAGAATAATATTACTGTTTATTCGAATATATTTGAAAAATATATAATACATTAGAGTATTGTACATCATATGATTAACACTATTTAAGATTTTTCAATTTTTGTTGATCATTTATTATAAAAAATTTGTCATAGTAATTTATTATAAAAATTATATAATCTTTAAAATGTTCTAATTTCCGTTCTAGAAAAGCAAATTCAATTCTGTAACTTGCAAGTGATATTAGAATAGTATAATTTTAAAACAATATTGAGACATTTTTAAATTTATTTTAACAATATAGTTAAAAGATCAAATGTTTTTTTAGTCATGAATTTTAATAGTAAAATATCAAAATTTATAAGTTTATACTATAAAGACTTGAAATATTTACACATAATTCTTAAATGTCGCAATATAGTTTTATAGATACACTATCCAAATATTATTTATAAGTTGCAGAATTGAATTGGTTTCACTAGCACAAGAGTTAGAGTTCCATCATTCACATCTTGAATAAATAAAGAAAATAAGACAAAAAAATAAACTATTATTTTGTTGAATGAAAAAAACCTCTGATTCCTTTAGTATCCAACATAATGCCATGTAATTCTGTAAGTGATCCATCTACACTGCTCAAGTTAATTCGCTTAAGCTTTTCTTGAGATTTAATTATGCATGCCAATCTATTATATAATATTGGCTCATAATATGATTCAAATGAATTAAATGTCAAAGTATTAATTGTTGTGGTATTTTTTGCCAATATACCTAATAATGTAATAACGCCTTCACCATAAAGACTCACAGATAAATCTTGGATTCTTGTGAAAAAATGTTCATTTCGCCCTAATATGTAATAAATCTCTGGTTTAATTTCAAAAAAATTGGGAAAATAACTTAATTTATATAAAGTGGCACCACTCTCGATAAATATTTTTAACAATAAATTAGCTAAATGATTGAAATCTTTTTGTGTATTAAAAATCTGGGATTCAATCCATTGTTTAACCTTTTCTTCTAGTTGAAATAGATCAAGTACCTTTAAAAATCTTGTATAATTAAATAGAGTATCAGGAAATTCTACAATGATCCCATATTCTTTTAAAATAAAGTTATCCTCTTCATTAAGGGACGAAAAATATCTAGATATATATTTGGGTTCTTGATCGAATGAAAATGGATTTCGCCAAAGAATAGGAATAGTCATATTGCACCAATGTCGACTCACAAGTACGCATGAATATAATGAATAAAATTCTTCATTTAGATTATTAAGAATATTTTCCATCAATTCGGGCATGTTGCCCATAAATATTTTGGATGCCATGAGAAATATTTTTGTAGATCGAATTATGCAATCTTACTGAAACGTATCAATTTATATAATTCATGTTGTAACGTGATATGTTATGTAATACAAATACAAGTAGT